AATATTATAATTATATTTGAATAAAGAAAATGTTAAATCTTAAAAATCCACAAAAAAGCATTTCGAAATATCTAAATTGACGTACGCCACTATAATTTATTTGGTTTATAAAATATTTTACGAGAAATGCCGCAGAAAATTTATCTTGATCGGAAAACGTGAAAAATCGAAGACTAACAGCAACAAAGACATAATAATTGTGATTCCAATAAGAAATTCAAGCTTACCCTCGACTCGCTCAATTCTCAGAAGCAGCCCGAGCTCGGCCACGAATCCTACCGCTTATCGCCGATTCTCTCTTCACACTCTATTCGCACAAACTCAAGCTCACTCGCGACGCGATACACACGTATCGTTTCAAAATTTTACGACTCGGGAAAAAAACCTTCATTCTCGGCGAAGAATTTACGAAAATACACTAAACACGCGATTCTCGGGTTCGCGAAATCCACGGTGAAATTGTCAACATGTTTTGCAGCGATTATAGCGTATTTGGAAACGAGTCTGCCAACAAATTTAATGACTTTTTTTCTGATATATATTTCCGATTTTATACTCGCTCGCAAACAATATTTATTTTCAATAGTTTTAATTAGTTTTATTAATACGTACGCGCCGCTTCTCAGTCCTTCGCGAAATCATAAATATATGTGATATTCTTTCTCGTTTTCACTCGGCACGTCTTTATCGCGACTGCGTTTTAGCAGTGATAAGGTGTCGCTTCAGTCGACGAAATTCGCGGCAAACTTCACTTATTCCTACCTGCGAGGAAGCGTCCAATTTCTGAAATTATTCCGGGCTCCGCCGCGACGATTGTCGATGTATCCTTGTAGACAATCATTTATTCCGACGCACAATACACATATACACTCGCGATGCATTACGCATTTGCGTAGCTTGAAAAAAGCTTCACTCAACGACGAACGACTTTCTCGCTTCTTTTCGCGACTGCGCGATTTTCACGTTTGACATGTGGCACCACTGACAGCTATTCGCGCACTTTCCGGTTGCACTGTTGAGAACACTGACTACGATGCGCGGCGCATACGTCGCGTTTGAAAAAGTTTTCTTCCAACTTTATTAACGAAACCCGCGACGTATTTTCACATCGTTCCGATCGCGATTCGATCGACATATTAATCGTCAAGCGTGTCCTATACTTCCGCACGCGTCTATCACTCGACTCGCGACGAAATACACGATGACAGATGCGAGAGAACGCGCACCGCGCATGAGAGCGTCCGACCGCGGGGGTAGCTCGACGCGAACTGCGCAGTCGCGCGCTGTCATCTATCAGCGCGGCGAGACGGCCAAGGTCACCGCACGCAGCACGTACGGAGTGCGCTCCTAAATGTCAATTTATAAATACGAATATTTATACAAATTATTAGTATTGTTACATTATTTATACTATAAAATATATTTCAATCTTTCTTTCTCTCTCCCTCCCTGTCTATCTTTCTATCTTTTTAATAAATAATGTACATATTTGAAGAATATTCGACAATTTTGTGGTTTTACTCGCGCGTATATACGGGGTGAAAACTATTGCATAACGTGATATAGAGAATTATAAATCGATTACTGAAGAAACATTATTGTAAAATTAATAAATTTATTTTTGAAAAATAAAATAGAAGGTTCGAGTGTTCTAATAAAAGTTTGAAAGACACTTAAACTAAAGTGTTACATTAATTTAATATATTCATTACATTTATCATGTACCATTTTTACTATATACAATTTATATATTGTATATAATATAAATTATTAATTTATATAAAATTTTATAAAATATTTTCGATACAAAATGAAAAGAAAGAGAGATTTACATTTTTCAAATATTTACAGATAAAATTCTCAGCTAAAATAAAATTCTCGATTTACAATAAAAATATTTATATGAATTATATCGCTAGAACATTATTTAGACATTGAAATGTTTGGTAATACATATGGGCATCTAAATTGGCTGTGCCAAAGTTTGTTAAGTTTTGTGCGTTTAAACGAAAACAAACGTCACGCGTTAAGTAAAAATACTTTTTCATTTTTGTTCCAAACTCATATTATTTGCGATCCATATTTCTCTCTCATGCATGATTTTCGCAAAATTATTACAACTCCAAATTAAAAAAAAAGTCGACACAATGCACAGCACTAGAATCGTAAAGTGTAAAATATAAATATATGAAAATTAGTAAAATTTACTAAAATAATAATTTCAATGATATTATTTTAATTAAACTTAAATATTACATAATATATATAAATACATGGAAATTAATGAAATTTAAAATAATTGACAAATTTGAAAAATATATTATTTTAATTAATAAGCTTAAATGATAAAAAGAACAATAAATAAATAAATAGTGATAATAAAATAAATAATAAATGAATTATTTACCACGTTCTATCTTTCAAGCGCATAGGAAAAAATGGTAAATTTGCTAGTTCTAAATTACATTTTCTGCGCATGCCGTGACAAATTCTTATACCTGTATCTTAGTGAAAACAAGCAATAAGACTTTAAAATTTAAAGTCACATTTCATAATAAAGAACAGACCGTCTGTAGTGTGGAAACGTCTCTCGTATAAATCAAACACACATTTGTGCTCTTGTAATCGGTAGATTCATTTCGTGTACTGCGAAAAGCAAGGAATAAATTACGCGAATAGTATATTGCAATCACTTTTATTTATAATCCTTTCTTGTGTTTTGTTTCTTATAATGTCTGATTGTAAGATAACGAGCTTACCAGAAGAGATCATAGACATCATTCTCGGCTATAACGTTATCACTATTGAGGATATCATTAACTTTCGATGCGTGTGCAAGCAATTTCGTTATGCAGCCAACTATGACAAGTTCTTGGAAAAAAAGTTATTTCAAAGGTAATTCTTGTGATTTGTAAATCTTTTTGTTATTTTGTCTTAATAATTTCTGTCGCATAATGTATATCCCTTCAACAAAGAACGTATTTTGTAAATACAAAAAATATTAATAATATAGTGTAAGAAAACAAAAACATTAATAATGTATATAAAAACAAATAGAAAAGAATAGATTAAATAAATACAAAACGGACAAAGTAGCGTGTTAGCTACGTAATCTTTAACATTATTTTTCAATTATTTAATTTATTTTTTATACTGATTCAATTAGTAAAATAATTTATTTATTGTTTATAGTAATTCAAAATAATCTTATTTTTTTAGATCTTTTAGTTTACATTAGCACAGTGTCTTGTGAAATTTTATTACATTATTATTCAAAAAAATATAATATAATATGTACTTTAATATATAATTATATATAACATAAATAGTTAAAAAAATATTAGAAAAATTAGATTTAATCACTTCACTTCCATTAAATCACTTAAATTTAAATATTTTATTTTATTATCGTTATTTATTTTACTAAATGATTTTTTCTATTGCTCAATAAATTTGGCGAACTCTACCGTTATATATATATGTTTATTTGGAATGTAAATATTAAATAATATACTGATAAGAATTCTTAATTTTCGGCTGTCATAAATTAAAAGACCAAATATTTTTCAACCGACATTCGTCGATTGATGTTTATTTAATTAATCACACAATGTTTCGGCCACGGTGTTTCGACCATATAATTTTGGTCTTTCGCACACTTAACAGTAACACTTGAGAAGGCCGAAAATTATATGAAACGTTGTGTGATTAATTAAATAAATATTAATTAGCCTATGTATATATCGGTCGAAAAATATTCATCATTAAATAATTTTTTGGGGATTTAATTATTAAAAATACAACATAAAAGTAACTTGATTTATTTATTATAATGTGTATTCTACAATATATTTAATTGCATTTTTAAATGTAAAAATTATATATATGATATATATTCGTGATACAAGCAAACAGATTTGATATTTTTCTATCGGTTATTTTTCATAAATAGCATTGAAATCACAATAACAAGTAAAAACATGCCAAGTGACATATATAAGCACAGTCGACATTGTTTGTAAATATGCTTTCGAAAATATTGTTTTACAAAATATTAAAAAAAAACTTAATCTTTACACAGAACTGTGGCGTCATCTTATCTGCAAATAGATAATAAAAATATGTATTGTCTTTATATCTGCATCTTACAAATAGATAAAAAAAAAGTACTACCTTTACTATATTATTTATTGAAAATAATTTTCAGATATTTTTGATTTAAAATCATAGCACATTGGAATACTTAAAGTAAACAATAAAGCGATAAAAATATGAATATATATATTGTTGTATCTTTTTCATAACTTATATTTCTTGTATAACTGTGTTTACATAACAAGTCTTACATATTATTATCTAAACAATTATCTAAATAAATCGTCATATAATTGTATCTTTTATCTAGATATACTTGAAACAAAATCATCTTCATTCAATCTAAGATGAATTTACTTACTTTATCTCATCTTTATCCAGCTAATTTTAAATTAATCTTGACACAACACTAAGTATCATTATCAAAAATTTATTACAATATTTTATGGTCGTATTTTAGATGGCCCTATGCGAAGAAAACATATGAAAGTCTTACGGAAAAAGAAAAAGAAGAAAACCTAAACTTTGTTATAATAGGCATAAATTCTGCGACACAATTGCGAAGTTATTTGTCTCAAATTCTCTTTTATGATTATTTTTACAATAATAGATCAAATCGAAATTACTTCGATGACTCAATTCATAATGTATTAAAACTCGAAAATAATGTAAAGAAATTCAGTGGTAATATCGATAAATATGTACATTCTTTACCTGCAAATCAATTTGTTTTTTATCTTCGACATGAGCCTATAGATGTGCTGAAGAATATGTTTTATATTGAAGAGATTAAATGCTTGTTAACACAATTTCCACAGTAGGATCTTCATATATATTATAATGCTACTATTATTACAATTTAATGTATTTAATCATTAGTTAATGCTTCAATATACATTTTTTAGGGATCGCAAATCAATCGAAAGTTTTTGCAATATAGAAATGTCTCACTATGCGAAGCTATCCTCGATAGGAAATGAGTTGGACAGATATACACAGAAACTTGAAAGAGAACAGCTTTTTGAAGAAACATGTACTTTCATAGCACAACAAATTCAACCTCGAAAAGATGTATGTTACACGAATGTAAGTGCACCATTGGATACAATCGCACAAGAAGTACGAAATCGTCTCAGAGAGAAGCATCCGAACCATTCGATATTCTCCACGTCTGAAGAAACTTTTTCTTCTTGGAAAACCAACAATATCAAAGATAATCATTGGGACCAAACAGAAAGTATGCAGATTATGGATACACTTCAGGAATATATATTTGACACTTTGAACTTTCGAGTATGTATCCTCGTACCCGAAGATATCAAATGTTTGTGTATAGATTATGTAAGTTATTAGAGATTATAATATATATAATTATGGGCCATATATGTATACGTTATATGTTGTTTTTAATATTCTCTCGCTTTGATTAATTTGTCCTGTATTATACCTGGCACAGGTTTTACAAAGTAAAGTTGGTTCAGATATCATTGTATATACAATATTTCATAGCGTGGCTAGAAAACTTGGTCTACGTTGCGATCTAATAGATATTTGGTCTGGCTGCTGTATATTTTGGAAACCAGAATTGTAAGTATAGATATATATTACAATTGACATTATCATTATTTCTCGATAATCTTTCTTTTTTTTATTATACGCATACATATATAATTTTTTATTATAAAAATTTTCATATGATTAAGGTAATATTTTATTTGTTTACAGCGTCACGAATAATTTAGAAAATGCAAGATGTTTTTACATAAAAGACGAGAAATTCCCGAATTGTCATCATGATTGTCTAGAAGAATACGAGTCTTATAACACATATAATGACGTCAACAAAATAGAAACTGAACAGGTTGAAACTTATTTTTTACTTCTATTAATTTTAAGTTATTAATATGCTTGTAAATTGACAAGCAATTAATAAATTACATTATATGTGTACAGAAAGAAGAGAAATGTACATCTCTCATTTTTTAATTTATAATTAAATCCTTGTTTACATTTAATTTTTATTCATGTTTAATTAACTTTTTTAGATCTGGTCCATGATAAGAGATTTAATTAGAAAATTTATAAAAGAACATAAAATATTCTATTTGGGATTAGTCGAAGTGAATTGTATAATGTAAAAACATACGCGCACTAATATAATCGCATATTAGTATATAACATGCACCATTGTAAAAATAAAGAGCTTTGTGAGATATTTTCAGATAACAATTATGTATAATTTACAATTTTCTATAATTTTACGTGTTTTAAGTGTTTATTGAGGCATTTATTCACAAAAAATCAATCAAAGTAAAAATTTTACAGTTTCTGTCTTATTTTAATTAGTAGAACATATAAATGAAAACGTGAAATATGCTGTAGAAATTATCATAATATATAATCCTACAGATCAATCTACAGATTCGGACCAACATAATAAATTTAAATTAATAATAGAATGTTATTGACATATACATATATACATACATGTTCGACAATTGAGAATCAACGATGAATAAAATATAGCTATTATCTTTCTGCGATATTTATTGTATTAATTAATATAAATAATAAAGTAAAAATTTTGTGTGCTGCAACAATTTGAATTGGTGCAAAAAATAATAAAAAAAAATTAAAATAAAAAAATTAACTAATTTGATAACTTTTTTTAACACTTTCAATATATGCGAAATATGACGTAATAAATTTGCCATCTATTAATATCTATTATTTTGAAACTTATATAATCGATAGTGTGTTGCATTTGTATAAGTATAAATAGGTATGTTAATAAAAGACAATGATTTTTATATTTTCAAATATACACAATTCTTTTGTATTGAAGAAGACGATAAAAACTTATAATTGATATTAGATTTTGTATGATATTAGCATAATTTCAGATGTTGCAAATTCATCTCAATTTTAGAATCTCAATTTTAATTCCTCAGTTTCCGATTCAGCGACTTTTGGACCGATATATTTTGCTTTTCTACATCTTTGTAGGAAATCAAAAGAAAACATAAGAATTAAAATCTCGAATTGAGATTTATTCACAAACATCTGCGTTGAGTTCGCATAGTCTGTTCATTTTGAGTTTGCATTTAATCCATGAAGTTTTATATTCTTATAAAGTTTAAATTATTAAAATATATACACCCTATATATACGCGCCAATAAAACTACATAAAATTGTAGAATATTCTTATATAAACTATTTGTACATGCATCATTTATTAAATATTCGTATTGTAATTCGGAAATTTTATTTTAGCTGGGAATTTTATCTGTTAAGATTTGAAAAATGCAAAATGTAAATCTCTCTCTTTCTCTTTCTCTCCTATCGAGAACATTTCATAATGCACAGCACTGGAGTTGTAAATTGTAAAATATGAATACATAAAAGTTGGTAAAATTAAAAAAAATAAATGATAACTTGAAATAAAATTATTTTAATTAAGCTTAAATAATAAATAATACAAATACATGAAAATTAATAAAATTTGAAATAACTGATAAATTTGGAAAAATATATTATTTTAATTAAGCTTAAATAGAGAACAATACATAAATAAATAGTAATAATAAAGAATAATTAATAAATAAATTATTTACCACGTTCTATCTTTCAAGAGCACAAGAAAAAGTGGTAATTTTTGCTAGTTCTTAATTACATTTTCTGCGCATGCTGTGGCAAGTTCTGATACCTATATCTTAGTGAAAACAAACAAAAAGGCTTTAAAATTTGGGGTCACATTTCATAATAAAGAACAGACCGTCTGTATCGTGAAAAACGTCTCTCGTATACATCAAACACACATCTGTGCTCTTTGTAATCGGCAAACTCATTTCGTGTACTGCGAAAAGCAAAGAATTAATTACGCGAATAGTTTATTGCAATCACTTTAATTTACATTCCTTTTTTGTGTTTTGTTTCTCATAATGTCTGATTATAAGATAACGTGCTTACCAGAGGAGATAATAACCATCATTCTCGGATATAATGTTATCACTATTGAAGATATCATTAACTTTCGATGCGTGTGCCAGCAATTTCGTTATGCAGCAGCCACATATAACAAGTTCTTGGAAAAAAAGTTATTTCAGAGGTAATTCTTGTAATTTGTACATTTTTTTATTATATCTCAATATCCTCTGTCACATAATGTATACCATTTTAGCAAAAAACGTATTTTATAAATATAAAATAAATTTTATAAATAAAACCTATTAAAAATATAGTGTAAGAAATACACAAAAATAAATAGATTAAAAAGATACAAAACGGACAAAACAGATTACAGCATATTAGATACGTAATCTTCAAATTAATTTCTTCAATTATTTAATTTATTCTTTCTACTGATTTAATTTGTAAAATGATTTATTTTTTGTTTATAGTAATTAAAAGTAATCCAATTTTTTTGATCTTTTAATTAACGGTAGCACATTGTCTTAAGAATTTTATTACATTATTATTTAAAAAAATATAATATATTATGTACTATAATATATAATATAATTATACATAACATATAATTTAAAAAAATAATATATTAGAAAAATTAGGTATGTTGTATTTATCTTGCATATTAAATTACTTTACTTTTATATTGAAAATAGCTTAAATTTAAATCTTTTATTTTATTATCGTATTTTATTTTACTTAACTATTTTTTCTATTGCTCAATAATAAATTTGACAAACTCTACCGTTATATATACACATATATGTATAAACATATATATATATATATGTTTATTTGGAATGTAAACATTAAATAATATACTGATAAGAATTCTTAATTTTCAACTGTCAAAAATTAAAAGACCGAATTTTTCGACTAATACTGGCTAATTAATGTTCATTTATTAATCACAAAACGTTTCGACCACAGTGTTTCGATTATAATTTTGGTCCTTCGCATACTTGACAGTAACATTTGAAAAGGCCGAAATTTATATGAAACGTTGTGTGATTAATTAAATAAATATTAATTAGCCTATATATATATCGGTCAAAAAATGTTCTGTCATTAAATAATTTTTTTTTAGATTTAAATAATAAAAATACAACATAAACATAACTTGGTTTATTTATTATAATGTGTATTCCTCAATATATTATATTTAATTGCATTTTTAAATATAAAAATATATATGATATATATTTGTGATAAAAACAAACAGATTTGATATTTTTCTATCGGTTCTTTTTTATAAACAGCATTAAAATCACAATAAAATCTTTATAAAAATAAAAACATGCCAGGTGACATATATAAGCACAGTCGACATTGTTTGTATATATGCTTTCGAAAAAATTGTTCTACATAATATTAAAAAAAAAACTTAATCTATACATACACACACATAAGCACATTAATGTTTATTAATTGCATATAGAATACACTTATAGAATTATGCAATATACATATTGGAATCAAAATTTGAAAAGAGAGAGAGAAGAGAGAGTATAAATTAAATTACAAATTAAAATTGAATATTATATATTTTCTTTTTCTGATTAAAGTATAAAAAGAAGTGACATATATATACTCATGCTTTGAATTGTACACTTTAATAAATTTATTAATTTGAAAAATGACTTGTGCAATCACATTTTTTACTATCATCAAAGTTTGCTGTGTGTTATCTAAAGAAAATTAAATGCAAGAACTGTAGCGTCATCTTATCTGCATTTAGATAATAAAAATATGTATTATCTTTATATCTGCATCTTACAAATAAATAAAAAAAAAATACTATCTTTACTATATTATTTATCTAAAATAATATTCAGATAATTTTGGTTTAAAATCATAGCACATAAAAATACTTTAATCAAACAGTAAAGCGATGAAAATTTATAAATAAAAATATGTATACATATATTGTTGTATCTTTTTCATAATTTATATTTCTTGTATAACTGTGTTTACATAAGCAGTCTTAAATATTATTATCTAAACAATTATTTAAATAAATAGTCATATAATTATATCTTTTATCTAGATACACTTAAAACAAAATCATCTTTATCCTATCTAAGATTAATTTACATACTTTTATCTCATCTTTATCCAGCTATTTTTAAATTAATCTTGACACAACACTAAGTATCATTATCAAAAATTTATTACAATATTTTATGGTCGTATTTTAGATGGCCCTATGCGAAGAAAAGATATGAAAGTCTTACGGAGAAAGAAAAGAAAGAAAACCTAAACTTTGTTATAATAGGCATTAATTCTGCAATACAATTGCGAAATTATTTGTCTCAAATTCTTTCTTATGATTATTATTACAATAATAGATCCAATCAAAATTACTTCGAGTACTCAATTGATACTGTATTAGAATTCAATAATAATGTAAAGAAATTCAGTGGTAATATCGATAAATATGTACATTCTTTGCCTGAAAGTCGATTATTTCCTGATCGTCCACATAAGCCTATAAATGTGCTGAAATATATGTTTTATATTGAAGAGATTAAATACTTGTTAACACAATTTCCACAGTAGGATTTTCATATATATTATAATGCTACTATTATTACATTTTAATGTATTATTCATTAGTTTACTTCAATATACATTTTTTAGGGATCGCAAATCAATCGAAAGTTATTGCAATATAGAAATGTCTCACTATGCGAAGCTATCCTCGATAGGAAATGAGTTGGACAGATATAGAGAGAAACCTAAAAGAAAACAGCTTTTGGAAAAAACATGTACTTTCGTGTCAAAATATATTCAAGTTCGAGAAGATGTATGTTACACAAATGTTTGTGCATCATTGGATACAATTGCAGTAGAAGTACGGAATCGTCTCAGAGAGAAGCATCCGAACCATTCGATATTCTCCACGTCTGATGAAAATTTTTTTATTGGAAAACCAACAATATCAAAGATAATCATTGGAATGAAACAGAAAGTACGCAGATTATGGATACACTCCAGGAATATATATTTGGCACTTTGAACATTCGAGCACGTATCCCCCCATTTTCACTCGAAGATATCAAATGGTTTTGTATAGATTATGTATGTTATTATAGATTATAATATATATAATTATGGGTCATATATGTATACGATATATGTTGTTTTTAATATTGTCTCGCTTTGATCAATTTGTCCTGTATTATACCTGGCACAGGTTTTACAAAGTAAATATGGTAAAGATGTCATTCTATATACAATATTTAATAGCGTGGCTAGAAGACTTGGTCTACGTTGCGATGTAATAAATATTGAAAATGATTTTTGTGTATTTTGGAAACCAAAATTGTAAGTATAAATATATATTACAATTGACATTATCATTATTTCTCGATAATCTTTCTTTTTTTATTATACGCATACATATATAATTTTTTATTATAAAAATTTTTATATGATTAAGGTAATATTTTATTTGTTTACAGCGTCACGAATAATTTAGAAAATGCAAGATGTTTTTACACAGAAAACGAGAAATTCCCGAATTGTCTTCATGATTCTCTACCAGATTACAAGTATTGTAAAGCACATCATTACGTCTTAAAAATAAGAACTAAAGAGGTTGAAAATTATTTATTACTTCTATTATTTTAAATTATTAATATGCTTATAAATTGACAAGCAATTAATAAATTACATTATATGTGTATAAAAAGATGAGAAATGTACATCTCTCATTCCTTAATTTATAATTAGATCCTTGTTTACATTTAATCTTTATTCATGTTTAATTACCCTTTTCAGATATTGACCATGATAAGAACTTTAGTTAAAAGGTTTATAAAAAACCATAAAATAATGAATTTGGGATTAGTCAAACTGAAATGTAAAGTGTAAAAACATACGCGCACTAGCATATTAGTATATAACATATACCATTGTAAAAATAAAGAGCATTGTGAGATATTTTCAGATAACAATTATGTATAATTTACAATTTTCTATAATTTTACGTGTTTTAAGTGTCTATTGAGGCATTTATTCACAAAAAATCAATCAAAGTAAAAATTTTACTGTCTTATTTTAAATAATAGAACACATAAATGAAAACGTGAAATATGCTGTGAAAATTATCATAATATCTAATCCACCTACAGATCAATTTACAGATTTGGACCAACATAATAGATAATAGGATGTTATTGACACATACATATATACATACATGTTCGACAATTGAGAATCAACGATGAATAAAATATATCTATTATTTTCTGCGATATTTATTGTATTAGATAATATAAATAATAAAATAAGAAAATTTTGTGACTGCAACAATTTGAATTGGTGCAGAAAAATTAATAAATCTTATAATAAAAAAATTAATTAGTTTAATAACTTTTCTTAACACTTTCAATATATGCAAAATATGACGTAATAAATTTGCCATCTATTAATATCTATTATTTTGAAACTTATATAATCGATAGTGTGTTGCATTTGTATAAGTATAAACAGGTATGTTAATAAAAGACAATGATTTTTATATTTTCAAATATACATAATTCTTTTGTATTAAAGAAGACGATAAAAACTTATAATTGATATTAGATTTTGTATGATATTAGCATAATTTCAGATGATGCAAATTCATCTCAATTTTAATTCCTCAGTTTCCGATTCAGCGACTTTTGGACCGATATATTTTGCTTTTCTACATCTTTGTAGAAAGATCAAAAGAAAACATAAGAATTCAAATCTCGAATTGAGATTTATTCACAAACATCTGCGTTGAGTTCGCATAGTCTGTTCATTTTGAGTTTGTATTTAATCCATGAAGTTTTATATTCTTATAAAGTTTAGATTACTAAAATATATACACCCCGTATATACGCGCGAATAAAACTACATAAAATTGTAGAATATTCTTATATAAACTATTTGTACATGCATCATTTATTAAATATTCGTATTGTAAGTCGGAAATTTTATTTTAGCTGAGAATTTTATCTGTTAAGATTTGAAAAATGCAAAATGTAAATCTCTCTCTTTCCCTTTCTCTCTTATCGAGAACATTTCATAATGCACAGCACTGGAGTTGTAAATTGTAAAATATAAATACATAAAAGTTGGTAAAATTTAATAAAATAAATGATAACTTGAAATAAAATTATTTTAATTAAGCTTAAATAATAAATAATACAAATACATGGAAATTAGTAAGATTTGAAATAACTGATAAATTTGGAAAAATATATTATTTTAATTAAACTTAAATAGAGAACAATACATAAATAAATAGTAATAATAAAGAATAATTAATAAATAAATTATTTACCACGTCCTATCTTTCAAGTGCACAGAAAAAGTGGTAATTTTTGCTATTAATTACATTTTCTGCGCATGCCGTGACAAATCCTTATACCTGTATCTAGGTAAAAACAACAATAAAACTTTAAAATTTGGGGTCACATTTCATAATAAAGAACAGAACGTCTACAGTGTGAAAAACGTCTCTCGTATACATCAAACACACATCTGTGCTCTTTGTAATCGGCAAACTCATTTTGTGTACTGCGAAAAGCAGAGAATTAATTACACGAATAGTATATTGCAATCACTTTAATTTATCATCCTTTCTTGTGTTTTGTTTTTCATAATGTCTGATTGTAAGATAACGCGCTTACCAGAGGAGATAATAGCCATCATTCTCGGCTATAACGTTATCACTATTGAGGATATCATTAACTTTCGATGCGTGTGCAAGAAATTTCGTTATGCAGCCAAATATGACAAGTTTTTGGAAAAAAAGTTATTTCAGAGGTGATTCTTGTGATTTGTAAATCTTTTTGTTATTTTGTCTCATTAACGCTTGTCGCACAATGTACATCACTTCTGCGAAGAACGTATATTATAAATATGTAATAAATACAAAATATTAGAAAAATTAGGTATGTTGCATTTATGTTGCATATTAAATTATTCGCTTTCATTTTTCTATTGCTCAATAATTTTAACAAACTCTACCCGTATATATATATATATATATATATATATATATATATATATATATGGAATGTAAACGTTAAATATAATATACTGATAAGAATTCTTAATTTTCGGCTGTCATAAATTAAAGAACCAAATATTTTTCAACCGACATTTGTCAATTGATGTTTATTTAATTAATCACACAATGTTTTGACCACAGTGTTTCGATCATATAATTTTGGGGTCCTTCGCACACTTAACAGTAACACTTGAGAAGGACAAAAATTATATGAAACGTTGTGTGATTAATTAAATAAATATTAATTGGCCTGTATCGATCGAAAAATATTTAGTCATTAAATATTTTTTTTTAGATTTAATTGTTAAAAATTAAATTTAAAAGTAACTTTGCTTATTTATTTTAATGTGTATTTTCAATATATTTAATTGCATTTTTAAATATAAAGATTATATATATGATATATATTCGTGCTTAAAACAAACAGATTTTCTATCGGTTCTTTTTCATAATTAGCATTGAAATCACAATCAAATCTTTATAAAAGTAAAAACGTGCCAAGTAACATATATAAGCACAGTCGACATTGTATGTAAATATGCTTTCGAAAAAATTGTTCTACAAAATATTAAAAAAGAAACTTAATATATACACATACATACTCATACGCACATTAATGTTTATTAATTCCATATAAAATACACGTATAGAATTATGAAATATACATATTAAAATCAAAATTTGAAAATATAGTTTTAATATACTTTTAGGAATACGTAGTTCAAAAATAAATATAAAACTAATGTTATTCATCCAAGTATAAATTAAATTACAAATTAATATTGAATATTATATATTTTAATTTTTCTGAATAAAGTATAAAAAGAAGAGATATATATATACTTATGCTTTGAATTGAATACTTTAAAAAATTTATTAATTTGAAAAATTACTTGTACAATCACATTGTTTAATATCATTAGTGTTTGCTGTTACCTAAATAAAATTATATAGATGAAACTTTGGAATCATCTTATCTGCATATAGATAATAAAAATACGTATTACCTTTATATCTGCATCTTAAATGAAAAAAAGTATTCTCTTTACTATATAATTTATCTAGAGTAATTTTCAGATAATTTTGGTTTAAAATCATAGCACAAAAAAATACTTAAAGTAGACGGTAAACCGATCAAAATTTAAAAATATTTATAAATATGAATAAATATATATTATTGTATCCCTTTTATAATTAACATTTTTTTATAACTATGTTTTTCAGATGGCCCGATGTATAGAGACAATATAAAATTTTTAAGGAAACAAAGGATGGACAAAACATGAACTTTCTTGCAAAAGGCCTAACTTGTGCGACACAGGTGCGAAACTGCTTGTCTCACATTCTTTTTTACGATTATAATTACAACAATAAATCAAATCAAAATTATGACATTGACCCAATCGATGATGTAATCGGATTCATTGATAATATAGATGAATATTTAAATCGTTTGTTTGAAAATGAACCTTTTTTTCGAAGACTTACCTCTGCAGATGAGATGAAATACTTGTTCTATATTGACGAGATTAAATACTTCTTATCACCATCTCCACAGTAAGATCTTCATATATATTATAATGCTACTATTATCAAACAATTTAATGTTTTATTTTATTGATTAACTTAATATTTCAATACATAATTTTTTTAGAAAAATTGATCGCAATTCAATCGAAAGATATTGCGAAATAAAATTGTCTCACTATAAAAAACTATCTTCGATACGAAATGAGTTGGACAGATATATAGTGAAACCTGAAAGAGAACAGCTTTTGGAAGAAATTTGTACTTTCGTGGCAATATATATTCAAGTTCGAGAAGATGTATGTTACACGAATGTAAGTGCATCATTGGATACAATCGCACAAGAGGTACTGAATTCTCTTAGAAAGAAGCATCCGAACCATTCGATATTCTCCACGTCTGAAGAAACTTTTTCCTATTGGAAAACCAACAATATCAAAGATAATCGATGGGATGAAACAGAAAGTACGCTTATTATGGATACACTCCAGGAATATATATTTGGCACTTTAAACTTTCGAGTATGTAGCTCCGTACCCGAAGATATCAAATGTTTGTGTATAGATTATGTAAGTTATTATAGATTATAATATATATAATTATGGGCCATATATGTATACGTTATATGTTGTTTTTAATATTCTCTCGCTTTGATTAATTTGTTCTGTATTATACCCGGCACAGGTTTTACAAAGTAAATCTGGTGAAGATATCATTGTATATACAATATTTCATAGCGTGGCTAGAAGAATTGGTCTACGTTGCGATGCAATAAATTTTTTTACTCGATTATCTATATTTTGGAAACCAGAATTGTAAGTACAGATATATATTAAAATCGACATTATCATTATTTCTCGATAATCTTTCTTTTTTTATTATACGCTTCCAATATAATTTTTTATTATATAAATTTTTATAATGATTAAAGTAATAATTTAATTGTTTACAGCGTCACGAATAATTTTGAAAATGCACGATGTTTTTACACACAAAAGTATTTCCCCGAGTATCGTGTTATTGATAATCTATCAGAATACATGTCTGTAAGACCAGTCGCAATAACAATTACAAAGGTTAAAAATTACTTATTTATTACTTCTAATAATTTTAAGTTATTAATATATTTCTAAATTTACAAAGAATCAATATATTACACTAAATATGTATAGGAAGAAGAGAAATGTGCAATCTCTCATTTTTTAATTTATAATTAGATTTTTGTTTACATGTCGTCTTTATATTCATGTTTAATTCATTTTTTTAGATGTTGAAGTTAACAAGAGATATTGTTAGAGAATTTATAATACAACATAAAATTAAGAAAATGCGATTAATCCGGGTTAATTGCATTATCCAACAACTTCCGATATGATTAAAATGTATTGTAATCATATTACGATGATAGGTATTATGAGCACAAGTTATATACATATGATGCAAAATGTGAGTAATTATATTAATTTGAACATATTCATGTATACTCATAATGACATTTTTTGCAAACAGTTTCAAGATATCATAATATTCCGTGTTTTGAGTAGCATATGAGCCTGCATCTGTGTCTATTTTTGTCATCATGTTTTAAGAAATATGAGTACAATATGAGTAAAGTATATACGCGCACTAACAATCGCATATTAGTATATAATATATACAATTGTAAAAATATTGAACATTGTAAGATTCTTTTAGATAACAATTCTTTTACAAAACAATATATATAATTTACAATTTTTTATAATTTAACGTGATTAAGTGTTTATTCAGACATTTATTCACAAAAAATCAATTAAAGTACAAATTTTACAGTTTGTGTCTTAGATTTTGTTTTAAATAATAGCACAAATAAATAAAAACGTAAAATATGCCATAGTTGCATGGACCAACATAATAGACAGATGTTATATTGACATATACATGTATATACATATATATTTTCGATAATTTTGTAGATAAATACTATGCCCTATTTTTGTATGCAATGTCAATTGAGAATCAACGACGAATGAAATATATTTATTATTCTCTGCTATATTTATTGTATTTATTAATATGAACAATAAAATAAGAAAAGTTGTGATTGCAAGAATTTGAATTAGTGCAGTAGAATTTAAGAATTTAAGAATTTAGAAAAATTAATTAATTTATGAACTTCTTTTTATTACTTTAAGTATATACAAAATATGACATAATTAAAATTTCCCATTTGTTAATATCTATTATTTTGAAACTTGTATAATCGATAGTGTTGCATTTGTATAAGTAAAAACACGTATGTTAATAAAAGACAATGATTTTTATATTTTGATGTATATATAATACTTTTGTGTTGAAGAAGACAATAAAATCGTATTAATGATATTAGATTTTGTATGATATTTTGATGATAATTGCAGATTTTAAAAATTTGTGGAAGAATCAAGCAAGACTTTAAAATTTGACTAATTCCAACAAGTTATATCTTCCTTTTATGTAGAAGATCTCTTCAATGGATGAGACATTATTTTAAGAAATATAACGAACAACGTTAAATATAAATTAAAATATATTAATATGTGGTAATTGTACAAAGATTTATCAAAAAAAAAATTTTTTTTATATATCTGAAAATATAAAAAACCCATAATTAAAAAATACATGCTTAATGATGAGACAGCAAATGTACTCCGCATTTAAGCACAGAACACATTTAATGTCATTAAAATGTAACACTTTAATTTCCGTTTCTTCTTTGAAACTTCTGTTAAGACACTCATCTTGTATTTTATTTTTCAAAAATACATTTATTAATTTTACAAATATGTTTCTTGAGTGATCGAGCGATTTAAATAATATATAATCCTCTACGTCACGTTATATAATAGTTTACACCCCGTATATACGCGAGAGTAAACTACATAAAATTGTCGAAATTCTTAAAATTTGTACATTATTTATTAAAAAGAAAGAAAGATAAACAGAGAAGGAAAGAGGAAGAAAGATTGAAATATATTTCATAGTATAAATAATGTCGTAACGATATAAATATTCGTATATATAAATTGAAATAAATATAAACAAATTTGATTAAATTAAAATTTATAATCTAAACATTATATTCAATGTCTGCGCTGTATTTTTTAAATTTATAAATTCATTCTTTGATTTTAATATGCGGCGCATTTATCATGATGTGAATTGAAATATTTTAACTAATTTCGTTAGACAGTCAAAAAAAGAACATAAATTTAATGGAATAAAAATCATAACAAAGTTTAATATAACTATAAACAAAGAATGTTTTCATCGTATCATTTATGCAGAATATCTCTTCGATGGATGTGGCATTATTTTAAAAGGTATAATAAACAACGTGGAGCATGCGATATCTGTGATAAAAATTTCATCCTATCATCTATCGATACATCTGTGATATATCATATAAAAATAAAGCATAAAGAAATTTATACATAATGTTTCAAGTGTGCGGTCTTCTTATTCTATATCAAGAAATATGTTAAATCCAGATAATTTACAAAGACTTATACCTAAATTTTTTATATATATCTAAAAATATAAAAAAACATAATTGAAACACACATGCTTAGAACAACAAATATACTCCACACTTGGATATAAAACACATTTAAGGTCATTCTGAAACGCAAGATTTGCGACTAATTTAATAAGACAAATAATTCTTTTAAATTAATGATATTTATTTCAACTTCATAATATCTCTGCATATCTCCAAATGCTACCAAAGGAGTAAGTGAAAAACCGATTAATATAAATATTACTATTTAGTTTTTCTTTAATGATTAATATAAACTTTTGAAAAATAAATGAACAAATATACTTAATGAATAAGAAAGTTAGTTTCGTAATAAACAAGGAATGCGAGCCGAACGCGAAGGTTTGTGTTTTAGATAATAAAAATTAATTTTTCTCCTATGTCTTATAATTGTGCACGAGGCACGAAATTTGTTTAACATAGTGCTAACAATAATATTATTTAAAAATAAATATCAACTTGGTTCTTAATTTTAGAATATCTATTTTAACTCCTAAGTTCCCGATTCTGCAATTTCTAGACCGATATATTTTGCTTTTTCTACATCTTTTTAGGGGGATTAGAGAAAAACATAAGAACTAAAATCTCGAATTGAGATTTATTCACAAACATCCGCGTTGAGTTCGCATAGTCTGTTCATTTTGAATTTGCATTTAATCCATGGAGTTTTTATATTCTTATAATAAAACTAAATAAAATTGTAGAATATTCTTATATAAACTATGTGCATACATCAATTATTAAATATTTGTACTGTAAGTCGAGAATTTTATTTTAGCTGAGAATTTTATATGTAAAGATTTAAAAATTGAAAAATGTAAATCTCTCTCTTACCCTTCACTCTTATCGAGATAATTTGACAATTCACAGCACTGGAGTTTATAATTGTAAAATATAAATACATAAATATTATTGGTAGAATTTAATAAAATTCATGATAATTTGAAATAATATTATTTTAATTAAGCTTAAATAATACATAATATAAATACATGAAGATTAATAAAATTTAATATAACTAATAAATTTGTAAAAATATATTATTTAAATAAATCTTAAATAGAGAACAATAAATAAATAAATAATAATAATAAAATAAATAATAAATGAATTATTTACCACGTTTTATCTTTCAAGCGCATAAGAAAAAATGGTAAATTTGCTAGTTCTAAATTACATTTTCTGCGCATGCTGTGGCAAGTTCTTATACCTATATCTTAGTGAAAACAAGCAAAAAGGCTTTAAAATTTGGGGTCACATTTCATAATAAAGAACAGACCGTCTGTATCGTGGAAAACGTCTCTCGTATACATCAAACACACATCTGTGCTCTTTGTAATCGGCAAACTCATTTCGTGTACTGCGAAAAGCAAAAATTAATTACGCGAATAGTTTAATGCAATCACTTTAATTTACATTCCTTTTTGTGTTTTGTTTCTCATAATGTCTGATTGTAAGATAACGTACTTACCAGAGGAGATAATAACCATCATTCTCGAATATAATGTTATCACTATTGAGGATATCATTAACTTTCGATGCGTGTGCCAGCAATTTCGTTATGCAGCAACCAAATATAACAAGTTCTTGGAAAAAAAGTTATCTCAAAGGTAATTCTTGTGGTTTGTAAATCTTTTTGTTATTTTGTCTCATTAACGCCTGTCGCACAATGATTATCACTTCTGCGAAGAACATATATTATAAATATGTAATAAATACAAAATATTAGAAAAATTAGGTATGTTGATTTATGTTGCATATTAAATTATTCGCTTTCATTTTTTCTATTGCTCAATAATTTTGGCAACTCTACCGTTATATATATACATATATAATATACATATACATATATATATATATATATATATATATATGGAATGTAAACGTTAAATATAATATACTGAGAAGAATTCTTAATTTTCGACTGTCACAAATTAAAAGACCAAATATTTTTCAACCGACATTTTTCAATTGATGTTTATTTAATTAATCACACAACGTTTCGACCACGGTGTTTCGACCATATAATTTTGGTCTTTCGCACACTTAACAATAACACTTGAGAAAGCCATAAATTATATGAAACACGTTGTGTAATTATTTAAATAAATATTAATTAGTTTATATGCATATCGGTCGAAAAATATTCAGTCATTAAATAATTTTTTTTAAGATTTAATTATTAAAAATGCAACGTAAAAGTGACTTGATTTATTTATTATAATGTGTATTGTTCAATATATTTAACCACATTTTTAAATATAAAAATTATATTAATGATATATATTCGTGATAAAAGCAAACACATTTGATATTGTTCTATCGGTTCTTTTTTATAAATAGCATCAAAATCACAATAAAATTTTTATAAAAGTAAAAAGCATGCCAAGTGACATATATAAGCACAGTCGACATTGTTTGTAAATATGCTTTCGAAAAAATTGTTTTACAAAATATTAAAAAAAAACTTAATCTATACACAGAAATGTGGCGTCATCTTATCTGCAAATAGATAATAAAAATATGTATTGTCTTTATATCTGCATCTTACAAATAGATAAAAAAAAGTACTACCTTTACTATATTATTTATTGAAAATAATTTTTAGATATTTTTGATTTAAAGTCATAGCACATTGGAATACTTAAAGTAAACAATAAAGAGATAAAAATATAAATATATATATTGTTGTATCTTTTTATAACTTATATTTCTTGTATAACTGTGTTTACATAACAAGTCTTAAATATTATTATCTAACCTTACCATACTATTATCTAAACAATTATCTAAATAAATCGTCATATAATTGTATCTTTTATCTAGATATATTTGAAACAAAATCATCTTCACTCAATCTAAGATGAATTTACATACTTTATCTCATCTTTATCCAGCTAATTTTAAATTAATCTTGACACAACACTAAGTATCATCATCAAAAATTTATTACAATATTTTATGGTCGTATTTTAGATGGCCCTATGCGAAGAAAAGATATGAAAGTCTTACGGAGAAAGAAAACAAAGAAAACCTAAACTTTGTTACAATAGGCATAAATTCTGCGACACATGTGCGGAATTATTTGTCTCACATTCTTTTTTATTGTTACAATACTAAATCAAATCAAAATAACTTCTATTACTTAGTTGCTATTTTATTGAGAATAAAAAATAATGTAAAAAAATGCAGTGGTAATATCGATAAATATGTACATTCTTTGTCTGAAAATCTATTTTTTCCTGATCGTCCACATGAGCCTATAAATGTGCTGAAATATATGTTTTATATTGAGGAGATTAAATACTTGTTAACACAATTTCCACAGTAGGATTTTCATATATATTATAATGCTACTATTATTACAATTTAATGTATTTAATCATTAGTTAATACTTCAATATACATTTTTTAGGAATCGCAAATCAATCGAAAGTTATTGCAATATAGAAATGTCTCACTATGAAAAGCTATCTTCGATACGAAATGAGTTGGACAGATATAAAAAGAAACTTGAGAGGGAACAGCTTTTGGAAGAAATTTGTACTTTCGAATCAAAATATATTCAAGTTCGAGAAGATGTATGTTACACGAATGTAAGTGCATCATTGGATACAATCGCACAAGAAGTACGGAATCGTCTCAGAGAGAAGCATCCGAACCATTCGATATTCTCCACGTCTGAAGAAACTTTTTCTTATTGGAAAACCAACAATATCAAAGATAATCATTGGGACAAAACAGAAAGTACGCAGATTATGGATACACTTCAAGAATATATATTTGGCACTTTAAATTTTCGAGTATGTAGGTCCGTACCCGAAGATATCAAATGTTTGTGTATAGATTATGTAAGTTGTTATAGATTATAATATATATAATTATGGGCCATATATGTATACGTCATATGTTGTTTTTAATATTCTCTCGCTTTGATCAATTTGTTCTGTATTATACCTGGCACAGGTTTTACAAAGTAAATTTGGTGAAGAAATCATTGTAAATACAATATTTCATAGCGTGGCTAGAAAACTTGGTCTACGTTGCGATGTAGTAGATATTTGGTCTCACTGCTGTATATCTTGGAAACCAGAATTGTAAGTATAGATATATATTAGAATTGACATTATCATTATTTCTCGATAATCTTTTTTTTTATTATACGCATACATATATAATTTTTTATTATAAAAATTTTCATATGATTAAGGTAATATTTTATTTGTTTACAGCGTCACGAATAATTTAGAAAATGCAAGATGTTTTTACATAAAAGACGAGAAATTCCCGAATTGTCTTCATAATTATCTGCAAAATTACGATTCTTATAAAACATATGACTTCAGCAAAATAAAAACTGAACAGGTTGAAACTTATTTTTTACTTCTATTAATTTTAAGTTATTAATATGCTTGTAAATTGACAAGCAATTAATATATTACATTATATGTGTACAGAAAGAAGAGAAATGTACATCTCTCATTTTTTAATTTATAATTAAATCCTTGTTTACATTGAATCTTTATTCATGTTTAATTAACTTTTTTAGATGTCGTACATGATAAAAAATTTAGTTGATAAGTTTATAAAAAAACATAAAATATTCAAATTGGGATTAATCCAAGGGATTTGTAATGTGTAAGAAACATCCGCGCGCTAACATAATCGCATATTAGTATATATACCATTGTAAAAATAAAGAGCATTGTGAGATATTTTCAGATAACAATTATGTATAATTTACAATTTTCTATAATTTTACGTGTTTTAAGTGTTTATTGAAACATTTATTCACAAAAAATCTATCAAAGTAAAAATTTTACAGTTTCTGTCTTATTTTAAATAATATAACAAATAAATGAAAACGTGAAATATGCTATGGAAATTATCATAATATCTAATCCACCTACAGATCAATCTACAGATTCGGACCAACATAATAGATAATAGGATGTTATTGACATATACATAGATACATACACATGTTCGGCAATTGAGAATCAACGATGAATAAAATATATCTATTATTTTTCTGCGATATTTATTGTATTAGATAATATAAATAATAAAATAAGAAAATTTTGTGACTGCAACAATTTGAATTGGTGCAGAAAAATTAATAAATCTTATAATAAAAAAATTAATTAGTTTAATAACTTTTTTTAACACTTTCAATATATGCAAAATATGACGTAATAAATTTGCCATCTATTAATATCTATTATTTTGAAACTTATATAATCGATAGTGTGTTGCATTTGTATAAGTATAAATAGGTATGTTAATAAAAGACAATGATTTTTATATTTTCAAATATACACAATTCTTTTGTATTGAAGAAGACGATAAAAACTTATAATTGATATTAGATTTTGTATGATATTAGCATAATTTCAGATGTTGCAAATTCATCTCAATTTTAGAATCTCAATTTTAATTCCTCAGTTTCCGATTCAGCGACTTTTGGACCGATATATTTTGCTTTTCTACATCTTTGTAGAGAAATCAAAAGAAAACATAGGAATTAAAATCTCGAATTGAGATTTATTCACAAACATCTGCGTTGAGTTCGCATAGTCTGTTCATTTTGAGTTTGTATTTAATCCATGAAGTTTTATATTCTTATAAAGTTTAGATTATTAAAATATATACACCTATATATACGCGCAAATAAAACTACATAAAATTGTAGAATATTCTTATATAAACTATTTGTACATGCATCATTTATTAAATATTCGTATTGTAATTCGGAAATTTTATTTTAGCTGAGAATTTCATCTGTTAAGATTTGAAAAATGCAAAATGTAAATCTCTCTCTTTCCCTTTCTCTCCTATCGAGAACATTTCATAATGCACAGCACTGGAGTTGTAAATTGTAAAATATGAATACATAAAAGTTGGTAAAATTTAAAAAAATAAATGATAACTTGAAATAAAATTATTTTAATTAAGCTTAAATAATAAATAATACAAATACATGAAAATTAATAAGATTTGAAATAACTGATAAATTTGGAAAAATATATTATTTTAATTAAGCTTAAATAAAGAACAATACATAAATAAATAGTAATAATAAAGAATAATTAATAAATAAATTATTTACCACGTTCTATCTTTCAAGTGCAAAAAAAAGTGGTAATTTTTGCTAGTTTTTAATTATATTTTCTGCGCATGGCTTGACAAATCCTAATACCTATATCTTAGTGAAAACAAGCAATAATGCTTTAAAATTTGGGGTCACATTTCATAATAAAGAACAGACCGTCTGTATCGTGGAAAACGTCTCTCGTATACATCAAACACACATCTGTGCTCTTTGTAATCGGCAAACTCATTTCGTGTACTGCGAAAAGCAAAGAATTAATTACGCGAATAGTTTATTGCAATCACTTTAATTTACATTCCTTTTTTGTGTTTTGTTTCTCATAATGTCTGATTATAAGATAACGTGCTTACGAGAGGAGATAATAACCATAATTCTAGGCTGTAATGTTATCACTATGGAGGATATCATCAACTTTCGATGCGTGTGCCAGCAATTTCGTTATGCAGCAACCACATATAACAAGTTCTTGGAAAAAAAGTTATTTCAGAGGTAATTCTTGTGATTTGTAAATGTTTTTGTTATTTTGTCTCATTAACGCCTGTCGCACAATGTATATCACTTCTGCGAAGAACGTATATTATAAATATATATAAATACAAAATATTAGAAAAATTAGGTATGTTGCATTTATGTTGCATATTAAATTATTCGCTTTCATTTTTCTATTGCTCAATAATTTTAACATACTCTACCGTTATATATGTGTATATACATTATAATATACATATACATATATATATATATGGAATATAACGTTAAATATAATATACTGATAAAAAGGATTCTTAATTTTCGGCTGTCATAAATTAAAAGACCAAATTTTTTCAACCGACATTTTTCAATTGATGTTTGTTTATTTAATTAATCACACAACGTTTCGACCACGGTGTTTGGACGATATAATTTTGGTCTTTCGCACACTTAACAGTAACACTGAGAAAGCCATAAATATATGAACGTTGTGTAATTAATTAAATAAAATATTAATTGACTACCATGTATATCGGTCCGAAATATATTCAGTCATAAATAATTTTTTTTAGATTTAATTATTAAAAATACAACTAAAGGAAACTTGGTTTATTATTATAATGTGTATTCTTCAATATATTAATTGCATTTTTAAATATAAAAATTATATATATGATATATATTCGTGTAGAAGCAAACACATTTGATATTTGTCTATCGGTTCTTTTCATAAATAGCATTGAAATCACAATAAATCTTATAAATT